GGCCCAAAACTTGACTGTATCACGTTCAGGGATACGTGAGCCATAGAGGTACAAAGGATGATCAGAGATGACAGAGCTCTAGTGAAAGTGATTTGGGGGGTTTTAGTGCGGGAAAATTTTAAACCCATGTGTGGTGGCCCAATTGGAAACACGGTCGACTGCATCTGGAGAGAAACTGTAAGGAGGTGACAGCCCAGCGCCTGCACGGGCAATAGCGAATTCATCAACATAGAGTGATGACCAAATATTTGATGGAAGCAAGAGGCCAAATCATTAATAGCAAGGAGAAAAAGTGTTGTGCTCAGAACACATCCCTGGGGGACACCTTCAGCTTGGACAAAGTCCGGGAGAGCACATTATTAACCCGAACACGGAAATGCCTGTCAGTTAAAAATTTTCTTAAGGAAGGATGGTAGATTGCCTCGAAGGCCTAAGGAGTGGGCTTGGGCAAAAAATATAATACCTCCAAGGTGTCCATATGCCTTCTCAAGGTCAAAAAATATGGCAATAACTGAGTGGTTATTCGCAAAGGCATTACGAACATACCGTATCCAAGCGCAGTAAGGGGTCTATGGTAGAACGTCCCTTACGAAAGCCATATTACGAGTGGAGAGACTGTTGTGTGTCCCCTAAATACCACACTAAACGTCTATTTACTAGACGTTCCATTACTTTTGCAAACTGCACTGGTAAGAGCAATGGGACGATAGTGGGAGGTTTCATGTCCCCGTAGTGCCTGGTTTGCGGAAAGGGAGAACAATGGCGGATTTCCACAGCTGTGGAAGAACTCCTTGTGACCAAATAAGATTGTAAAGGCGTAATGGGACTGCAAGGGCTGACTGATGTAAATGTTGTAGCATACGAATATGAATGTCGTCGGGCCCAGCTGCCGATGATCGACAAGCTGAGAGTGTTGCCTCCATTTCTTGAAGTGTAAAAGGCACATTATACTGTTCTTCCTGAGAGAAGAAAAGTCCAGGGTGCTAACTCTCTGGCAGACTTTGGGGAAAGAAATGAGGGCATAGATGGAGTCCCTGAGAAATACGGACCAGATGATTGCCAAGTTCATTGGCAACACTAGGGGGTTTGCTATATCAACACCGGCAACCCGCAGAACAGGAGCCGGGTCAGGAGAATATTTAGCACTCATTTTTTCGTACTTTTTTCCAGACTGCCACTAAATAGAGGAAGCAAGGTGATGGTGGAGACATAATCTCGCCAGCAAGTGCTTTTAGCGTCACGGATGACACGCGAGCGATCGAAACGCTTCTGTTTAAAATCAAGGAGTCGCTCTGTGGTTCTATTGTACCGGTACCTGCCCCATGCAGCGCGTTTCAAACGTACTGCACGAGCACAAGCAGGAGACCACCAAGGCACGCATTTCTGAGAATGCCTGCCCGAAGTTTGGGGAAATAGAATGAGAAGCTGCGGTGAAAAGGGAGGACGAGAAGAGGTGTAAAAGCTCATCGATGGAGGACGAAGAAGGAACCTCTTAAAAACAGTCAAGTGTGAGTAAAGTTCCAATTTGCCCGATTAAATTGCCAGCGTGGGGTGCGAAGAGGGGCGAATATGAAGGGAAGTAAGAATGATTGGGAAATGATCACTGTCATGTAAGTCCGGGAGAACAGACCAAGTAAATCTAATGCGGCGGAGGAAGAGCAAACTGAGAGATCGAGCAAGAGAGAGTAAGAGTCCGAGGATCAAAATGGGTGTGAGTACCTGTATTTTAAAACATGGAGGGGGTGGGTGCAAGAAAAGCCTCTAACTGAATTCCACGGGAATCACAGTGAGAAACCCCCCCCAGAAAGGGAAAAGGTGGGCATTAAAATCACCAAGTAACAGAATCGGTGGCGGTAATGACGAAACAAGGAAGGCAAAATCCGGAATAGATAATGCCCGAGAAGGAGAGAGATATAAAGAACAGAGCGTATACCACCATGTAAGTGGATACGGCTGCTGTGTAATGCAGCGAAGTATGAATAAATACTGATGGTACGGAATATCAGTGCGGAGAAGAAGGGCACTTTCATTAAAGGTCCCATCAGGAAAAGGATCTGAAGAATAAAAATAAATTATAGCCTGAGATGTGAGAAAAAACAGCAGAGTGTAATTTTGGTTTTCCCGTAAGCAAACACCAACAGGGCAAAAATGGGAGAGTAACATCTGAAGCTCACCCCCCCATTACCCCTGAGGCCGCGTATATTCCACTGTAAAAAGGCCATGATTGGCAATGATAAAGAACTTGAAATCCGCAGGTAAGGTTCCTACGGACCAAAAGGGGTTTGAAAAGTCCACATGCGGAGGCAGTGGAAAATGTTCAAGCAGCGAAGGAACGGGGCGCTGTGAAGAAAGGAGTTGCGCAGATGGGGCAGAGGAGAGAGAAAGAGCGGGAAAGGTGGATCAGTGTCCATTGATGGGTTTTGGGCTCTGCAAAAATATTCAGAGATTGCTCAAGTGTTTCGGAATTCAGAGATTCGTATGGGAGACAATATTGGAATGGTAGGGGAGGATGAGTAAAATTTGGGAAATGTAATTTGGGCTGTACCAAGGTAGGGGGGCGAAAGGGGGGAGGGAACTGGAGAAGCGTGGCAGGGACAGAAGAGACAGGAACCTGGGGGGTGGCAGAAGAGGAAAACTTGGGAGGGAACAGGGGAGGAAGGTACATTACGAGGAGGAGGGTGAACCTCTGCACTTGTAACTGAGCCAGTGAGAGGGGGAAAAACTAGGGACAGAGACAGGGAGGGGACAATGAGAGGTGGAAGATGGGTAGGAGGTTTACCGGACCTTTTTTTGACTTTTGAGAAGTAGAGGGACGATTGGGAAGAGGTGTCGTACGAGGTCCCCGTCGATACTGAGGCTTGTAAGAGAGAACTCCCAAGAAGCGAGATTAGACGAGGCGTTGAAGTAGGGACGTCTGAGCCGAGAAAAGCAAAAGGATTAGATACAGGAGTGATTATGGGAGAGGTAACCACAGAGGTGGGTGTAGAAATGGGATACCAGAAGTGGGGGACGTTTTGAAACACGGGAATAAGAAACACGTGGGAGTCCTCCCTTGGAGGCGGAGATGAGAAACTGCCATGGCATAAGGGAGACCTTCTGTCCCCTTTGAGGTAACGGATTTCCCGCTCGTTTAAATAGACCTGACAACGGCGAGAGTACGAAGGGTGAGCCTCAAGACAGTTAAGGCAAAGAGGGAGATCGATTGCAAGACGTATTAGAATGGTCAACGGCACCACAGACTGGGCATTTGGCGATAGATCTGCAATATTTTGCTGGATGGCCAAATCGCCACAATTTCTACACTGTTGTGGTGTAGGGATCACCTTTCGAACTTGTAACCGATGTCCTGCTATATAAACGGAGGATGGGAGTTCTCGGGTGTCAAAAGTTAAACGAGCCACATTGCTAGGGGATCGTCTCCGCCCCCGGGCAGGAAGAACGTAAGTGTCTACCTTGAGATTGGGAGATCTTGGGGTTCCAGCTGTTCTAGAATGTCGGTGCCACATTCTGGAAATTTGTTGAACTATGGTATGGGGCAGAAAAACGGGACCACTACAAAAATGAGGGAATGATGTTTTTCAAGGGTGACAGGGAAAAGTATCTATATGGGAAAGACGAGAGAGCTCACGAGCCTGGGTAGCATTCCCGTACGGTAATGATGCGCGTACCGCTCTTAAGAGCATGAAAAGAAATATCTTTACCAACATGGCGTAGGAGTGCCTTGCCAATACTATGGTCAGAAAGATAGGCAGTAGAGGAAGTTGGTCCCTAAAGTGAAGAATTTAGTCCACTGTTCAGTCTGAAACTGAGCTGGAAAGGTAGTGAAGGACGTGTCAATCGTTTCTGAGAAGAACGAGAAGGTGAAGGTGGAGAAGTATCATCAGCAGGTAATTGTCGTTGACGTTTAGGCGTGGGGCCAGAGTTGGTCCGACGTGGAACGGGTCGGCGATTTTAAAATTGCCGCACCGTAGAGGGAGAAGCCGGAAGCATAGTCAGAGGAGAGCGAAGGTCTGATAAATCGAAGGGGTCAGTCGAGGCCTCAGTACCGAAACGGGGGAGGGAAAAAGCACCGGCAATAGGGACAGAGGCATGAGGAATGTCTGAAGAGTGGTCCAAAGACGAGGCGGGGTCAGAAAAGGGGTGCGGTATCAAGAAGGGCCCGGGGGTACCAGGTTCATGGACTAGGGCTGCCATGGTTAGGTTTCTTCTTTCTTTTTGTTTTTAAGAAAAAAAAAGAAAGAAAAAAAAGAAAATAAAATAAAAAAAAGAAAAAAAAAGGGGGGACCGGGAGGGATATTCCTAGGAGGAATGAAAGGGCCAGAAATCTCCCTCCGCGCCCAAGAGGACTCGACACCGCTAAGTAGCGCAGATGCAGCCTTTGGGAAACCCGTGCCATACCCTAAACCCCTTTATGCCAGTAAACCAGCAATCTGGGATAGCAACCTCAAAATCTGCCGAGCTACCTCGGTGGACAAAAGAAGGGCGGCCGGATACCGCCACAAAGCATACCCCCTTCAGCCACCACCCCCCGGAATCCGAAGGTGGCTTCCAGAGATACACCCGTCGCCCAAAAGACACCCAAAGCTACTCCGGGATACCGGAGAGGGATCGGGACATCCTAGGGAATCCAGATTCCTCGGCAAACTACGCCACCCCCCAAAAAACCTCAACGGAATGGGATGGACCCCGGTGTCCTTTCCCTACCTAGGAACTAGCGCCCTTGGGAGAAATCACGAAGGCTTTAAAAAGAGGAAGGGCAAAAGGGAGGGGTGAGGAGGAGGAGGAGGAATGGAAAAAGGGGGGGATGGGGAGGATGGGATAGGGGAGGGAGAATGGGGGTAATTTGGTTCGGTCTGAGGAAAAGACCGACAGGGCTAATTCCTCAGACCAAGAGCCTCTTCACCACGCCAAGGAGCCCCCCTTGAAGAGGCTCCATCCTCTAGAATTATTGATAATAAACAATCCTATTATCTTTAATTTCAGGAAAATCAAACTAATACTTTTGTATATTTCTTATTTATTTGTTCAAACTCCTTCACACTTCTCTCAGACCATTAGTTTATTATAACTGAGAGAGCGGAGGAATTTCAATTTTACAATTTTTCAGTATTAATAAAACCTGGAGACAGTACATCAAAATAAAATTTGATATATGCATATATGTAAACATACCATTTAGTAGTTATAGAATGTCACATCCAGGTTATCAACAACCATGAAACTAGTGGCGAGGTCTCGCATGCTGGTAATTTAGTCAAAGACACAAAAACACTAATAGTATATAGTGTTATATCATTGACTCAAGTCTAATGTATAGCTGATGGTTACCTTACTTTTCTCCAGTAGTATGGTCAATCCTTGTGGTTAAAATTCACATGTACAACAAATGCAACATTTTGTAATGGGAAATAAACATATAAAGGAAAATAGTAATGACAAGAAATTCACCCTGGCTGATATGTACATGAGAAAAAATAATATATGACTCGTTTCCATTAATGGCGAGTGTTGAAATACAGATATGATAAAAAGGCAATGAAAACATTTCAAATCATGTTTCCACTTATGTGAGTGTTGAAGTTTACATATGATATAAAATGAAGAAGCATTTTAATATACATTTCGAGACATGAAAGATGTAATAAAATATATGTAGAGATTCACTGGTGAAACTTGGCAAGACAACAAAGACTGCCTAATAAATTTTCACTTAAAAACTCTTGGTTTTTATGTTTAGATTAAAAATAATTCAGACATCTTTACCCTTCTAAGGAAGTGAAGGAGGCAGGGTAAGGATTGATACCAGTAAAAGGCTCTTGTTCCAAGGAATTAATAGCCCTCCTTATCCCAGGATAAAACCTGATAAATTCCTTTTATCCAGGTGCTGTATGACCCACACGGGCTCAGCTACTGTCCAGGAAAGCAAATAATAATAATTCAGATATCATTGCTAGCTTACCACCAAATGAACTTCTTAAAAGTCTTGTATGACTAATGAAGGAACTTCAGACTAAGATGCAAACTTAATACATAACCTTTTAAAGAAGTATCTAACCCCTAAAAGGCCCATTAAATTATGGTACACTCGTATATACATGTCATATATAAATAATCATTTAGTATTAAAATCTATGCTAGAAAATAAAACCGGATAGCTGTGACTGAAGATATATAATCCTTAACTATGTTCTTAAACATAATGGAGTAACATTTTTCTTATTAATAGAAAAGTAATGTTGTTCCTAAACACTGAGGGGTAACATTTATGCTAAACATAACCTTTGGCTAGAAACTAAAACAAACTGTATATTCCTAGCTAAAAAAAAAAAAAAATAATATTCATTTAAAAATTTCTGTACAAAAACTTACATTCATCTTAATAAACAAAACTCATCATAAATCAAAATGGAATTAAGATTTCTGACCAAGCTTTATTCTACAAAATATAATCATTAAAGGAAATCTGGCTTAATTGATTTAATATGATGGAAGATAGAAAAAGTATAGAGAGTGTGAGTGTGAGCATATGCATGTGTGTATATATGTATGTATTATTGTGACCACGAACGAGTGGTATTTAATCAATAACAACACTGCAACTAGTCAGGGAATTGAACCCGTGTTGTTTTAGCCCACCTCATGGTGAGCGAAAATTCACAATGTTCTAACTCACTGGACCATCCAATCCTGTTGTTGGATAGTCCAGTGGGTTAGAGAATCATGGATTTTCACTCACCATGAGGCAGGCTAAAACAACACAGGTTCAGTCCCCCTAGTCGCAATGTTATTATTGATGTATATGCATCTATATGTATGTATGTATATGCATATGTATATGTATATATGTATGTATATTATATACTGAGAAAGAGTTTACATGATCTGATACATGCACACATCCTGAGGCATCAAGGTACACAAGGCAGAGTATGATGGGGATAACATCTTGTTTTTAAGACCTCTGATTACCAGCTACTATTACTCTGGAAATCTGTGCTGGGATAAGTTCTGTACATACCTACTTAACATTCTTCAATACATAATGTACAGTAGGCTATAAAAAAACAAAGTTTATATGCAATACCATTTCCCAGAGAATAAAAAAATACACTTAATACACAAACACTTATTTTCCATATTATAAAAAGCTAAATCTGTGCTAAGTGCTGCAAACACTGGATACAGAATATATATGAAATTTATTTATTATATCAGTGGTTATTATCAATGTAATCCCATTCCTGCCATACTGTTTACCAAGTACAGTATACAGATCCTTTCTTTAACACTGAGGTATTACTCTAAAACTGTACAATTTCACTTTCTTCATTACTGTACACATGACCAGTATACCACCATAGCCAAATTTTATAGTGGCCCACATCAGCACCGAGATTCACTAGAAATTTGTGGCATCGAAGGGGCATCTCGGATGTCTGCATACACGGTGGGTAGTTTTGGAGGACTGAGATTCTTCATGGGAGGAAGGGGCACTCCTGTCAGTCTTGCCACCTCCTCTTCCAACTGACGATTACGCCCAAACATGGCAACATAGTTGTGATGTAGCTGTTTCTGATAACGTATGACTCTCTCTTTCTCCTCTGTCCACCTTAAACGTTCCTCCTCAAACTGTTGTCTTTGCAGCTCACTGTCTTTCTTCATTGTTTCCATTTCGGTCTTCAGTTTGTCCATTTGAAGGCCAATATCTTGGTCATGTGCCCGTGCCTGAGACTGTTGCTGCTGAGCTTGGTCCAACTGCAAACGGAGGTCACCAGATTCCCGACGCTGTTGACCCATCACTTCATGCAAGGAATTAATCTCTGCACGACGTCTTTCAACTTCTGTTTGGTATTGGCGAACTTGTGCACGCAAGTGGAGGAGCTCATGTCCTCGTGTTGTCTGGTCACCTTGGGAATCTTTCAGTTGAGTCTTTAGCAGAGAAATTTCACCTGAAAATAAATTAAAGTTAGCTGATATTCACCATTTATCAACAATATTTCAATAAAGTATTGTTGCTTCCTGCAATTTTCAAAAATTTTAAGGACCAAATTAAATATTAAACCAGCATTTCTCAAGATCTGAAATCACATTTGCCTCGCTACACAAACGGTATCAGGACTTATTAGTACCCTGTGATATATGCCACCATACTGACTAACCATCCTGTGGTTGATAGTATGCATGAAGAACATTGTTTATTTCCCTCCTTACAGTTTCAATTTATGTTGCTATGTATGTTTGTACTGTACAATTTGTAGCTATGGGCTACAGTATTTAGTTAGAAAGTAAATACAGTGGTACCTCGAGTTACGAACTTAATTCGTTCCAGAAGGCTCTTCAAATGCCAATACCAAACGAATTTGTTCCCATAAGGAATAATATAAATTGGATTAGTCCATTTCCGACCCCCAAAAATACACTTACAAAAATAAATTTATTTAATTGTTCGAGTTGGGAGCTGTTCGAAATTCGAGGTACCACTGTATTATAATTATGTATATATATACAACATTAGCACTCAGAGTGTATAAGCACAAGGGTCCTACCACCTACCTCCTGCATTTACACTGAATAATTTGTGGGAAAAGAAATATGATGAATGCAACAAAACATAACCAGTTACAGTGGAACCCCGAGTTTCGGCCGCCTTGATTATCAGTCGCTTCGAGTTTAGACTGCTTTTTTGGCTAAATTTTGTCCCAAATTTCGCCCTATGCCCCGTGTTTCAGCCAGCATACCAGACCTGTCCGCCTGCCTGTGTCTATGCGGCTGCCCATGCTGGTATCGTGAGCCAGTCTAGCTTTGTTTATACTTGAGTGAATATTACCCTGCGCGCTCATCCAAACATTTCACAATAAATTCATAACTTCCCAGTGGCAGCCCTTTGGTAAAGAAAGTGAGAATAAACAAGAAAGATATTCCTGGCACTAAAATAACAAGTTCTCTGTTCGTTAGTCACATCCCCAGGCCCCTCTTATATTTCTTTGGCTTTCCACTTTGAATTTTTATTCTTACAAAAAAAATAAGATTTACTGTTATGCAGACTACTGCATTAGTGTAGAAATAGTATAAATAATATCAGCGCACTTGTAAAAGAATATTAAACTCACCAGTTGATGTGTATTGGACGCTTGGCATGATTTGTTTACTTTTGAACTTTGGTAAAAATTGAACATTTCTGCTATTTCGAGCTCAATTTCAAGGTACAGTACTTTTAATTGTAAAACCAGTCAAAATTATCTCAATTTCTGTAATATGTCTTCCATTCTATAAAATGAGACCAAGAAAACTAGAATACAACAATAAATACCATACAAAAATACAGTGCAAAGTCGCTGTTTTAATCCAAAAACACGGTCAAAGTTTTTTTTCTCATTACGCACTGTGTGCTGCAGGATTTTTTTTATACTGCGCACACTGACCACATAGACCCATTCTTACATATGTAGGCCTACCAGCTTTCTCTCACTAGATTTGAGGGCGCTAGAACTTAGGTGTACTAGTACGCCTCCAGGTAACCTCCAGGTAACGTCAAAAACCCTGGGTCGTACTAGTATGTCCGAAACCCCCAAAGGGTTAAATGTTCATTTATCCATTAAAATTAGTGCTTTATATTTATTTCTCATTGTTTTCTGTATATAAAACTACAGTATTTATTCTTTAAAAAATGATTTTTTTGTGAATATTTTTGGGTGGAACAGATTAATTGGATTTACATTATTTCTTATGGGAAATATTGCTTCAATACACAAATAACCCGCACATAAAAGACAGAAGCTTACGACAACGTTTTGGTCCGACTTGGACCATTGACAAAGTGGTGACTTTGTCAATGGTCCAAGTCGGACTGAAACGTCGTCATAAGCTTCTCTCTTTTATGTGCGGGTTATTTGTGTATCGTTCCAGTCACGGTATTGTGCCTTTTTTGTTATATATTGCTTCAACTTTAGGCCTAGCTCCTGGAAAGGATTATGGCTGAAACTCGAGGTTCGACTGTACAGGAAATCCAACAGTACAGTGGTACCTTGAGTTTCAAACAGCTCTCAACTCGAACAATTATGTAAGTGTATTTTTGTAAGTGCTTTTGTAAGTGTATTTTTGGGAGTCTGAAACAGATTAATCTAATTTACATTATTCCTTATGGGAACAAATTCGTTTGGTATCAGCACCTGAACAGACTTCTGGAACCAATTAAGTTCATAACTCGAGGTACCATTGTATTATGTAGATAATATTCTTAATGACAGATACATGTAGGAAAAAGTGGAAAAAACAACATGTGTAGCTCTCCTCCAATTTCCCCTGTAACTTCTAATGTTTCATTGTAAAACTGACATTGTTACTCACTAGCAGTACAGTTGGAGATAAGTTGTAAAATTAATGCAAGTTGACAGAAGCAAATCAATATTAAGGGATTTGTGTGTTGTGTGATTGTGGGTGTTAGGTGAATTCGTATGTATGTTATGTAGATATACAGGAATTAATAAAGCTTTAACATTATGGAGGGAGGACTCATGAGGTTGGGATAATAGTAGGGCTGGGCTGCAATCCGAATTCTGGAATATGCTTATACATTTTGACTTGGATGAGGGCCCTGGCATGTTCCCCATTTGAAGGAGGACTTGTCAAGGTCAGTTTCTAGCTTCATCTTTTCCAGATATGCCATTCTGTCAGCTAAGTAAACTAAGTGGTATTATCCTAAAAAATGAATCTAATTGTGGCGAGAATCTAAGTGGTAAGGAGGTTTCTTCAACCCCTTTATGCAGTATTTGCTCAGTGGACTACACCTAATCAAATCTGCTAAAAGTAATGGACTTGCACTAGTATTCACCCCTCAAGGGAGGTTCCATGATGCTGATGAGGGGCTTTTATCTAAGGAATTGGATCTGTGCAAAGGGATGGTAGTGGTGGTACACATGGTTTCAAGGAAATCATTTTTGGGAGTCTTTGGAGCTAAGGTGTGGGTGGTAAGGGTAGTCATAGAGGATTATGTTGGTTGTTGAACAGTGAAAGTACCCAGTGGTGATGGGATGGAGATTTTATAACTGTTGGGGACACTAGTAAGAGCATAGGAGACCACTACTAAAAACTGTTCCTGTCAACTCTTTTAGAGGAGATGCATAGGGAATCTCCATTCTTCGGTACAGTGGTACCTTGGGTTATGAACAGCTCAAAACTCGAACAATTATGTAAGTGTACGTACTAGCACTAATAGCAATGTCGGCTATGTGGGATGAATATCGTTAGTCAATGATTCAGCCCAAACCATTACCCTAATGCTATTGCATGTCATTGGTAATGCCCCAGTAACTATCCACCAACATTCCACACTCATCATGTCAAGAAACAGTTATCATCCCTTGTGTGGTTGTAGAGCCAAACCTAACAGATTCTGCCCTAGACATTCAGAATCAAGTAGCATCACAGCATCTCCCAATCACCAGTCAATACTCATGTCTGTCTAGCATGCAGATGGATGAAATTCCAAGCCAGTATATTCAAACTAACATTTGATAGTCATACTCTTTCCCCTTCAGTATACTTTCCAGTGAAGGAGTTCAGCCTAACACTGTAAATGTTGGGGGCTGTAGCCACCCAGTGAAACACTGCAGAACTTCAGTGGAATGCCCAATATGCAAAAACATAAAGCAGAATGACCCAGGGTGTGAACTCTCCTTCCTAATGTTGGTACCCTGTTTTTCTTTGGCAGAATGAAATCCTGTGTCTGGGAGAAAGAGGTTTGTTGCATCATCAAGCAGTTTTCCAGTACAGTGGTACCTCGGGATACGAACTTTTTTCGTTCCAGAAGGCTGTTCGAGTGCTGATACTGAATGAATTTGTTCCCATAAGAAATAATGTAAATTAGATTAGTCTGTTTCAGACCCCCAAAAATACACTTACAAAAGCACTTACATAAATACAGTGGACCCTCGACCAACGATATTAATCCGTTCCTGAGAGCTCATCGTTAGTCGAAATTATCGTTAGTTGAGTTAATTTTCCCCATAAGAAATAATGGAAATCAAATTAATCCATTCCTGACACCCCAAAGTATTGAAAAAAAAAAATTTTACCACACGAAATATTAATTTTAATACACACAAACTGAAGAAGACATGTACAATTACATGACACTTACCTTTATTGAAGATCTGGTGATGATTGATGGGATGGGAGGAGGGGAGTGTGTGGATAGTGTTAGTGTTTAAAAGGAGAATCCCCTTCCATTAGGACTTGAGATGTCAAGTCCTTTTCCGGGGTTATTTCCCTTCTTCTTTTAATGCCACTAGGACCAGCTTGAGAGTCACTGCACCTCTGGTTTCTTTACGATTTGTCTAAAATGGGCCACAACATTGTCATTGTAATAGTCACCAGCACAGCTTGCAATAGCTGTGTTAGGGTGATTTTCATCCATAAAGGTTTGCAGTTCAACCCACTTTGCAGACATTTCCTTAATCTTTGAAGTAGGCACAATGGATTCCACAACTGGCATAGGCGTCTCAGGGTTAGCCCCAAACTCTTTAAAATCTTTCTTAATTTCCATACTAATTCTCACCCTTTTTATCACAGGGATGGCACTAAAGAAGCTTTCTTGAGGCCCATGGTGACTTATTTTGCAGGTGCAATCACTAAAAACGCTGTCATAATATGAAATGCTCCGATTGTATGTTTGGATGCGACCGTGGTGGCTGGCTTGTAAACACTGCGCAGGCCACACGTGGACGCGTCTCAAACGGAACGAATCATGTTGGTCGAGTTTTTTAGCGCTAGTCGAGGCAAAATTTTTGCGTTAAAATGTATCGCTAGTCGGATTTAACGTTATACGATGCATCGTTATAGTTACCAAAGTATGAACTTAGATCAAGTGGATGTAAGGGGAAAAAATCTTGTCTATTATTGTGTTTGGAAGATTTCCATTGAAGGAGAGGTTTCTAGGATGTTTTTTTTT